AAACGCCCATAAAACCGAAAAATGCAAAAAACTTAAAATATGTACGTACCCCCCCGCATATACCTATTGAACATCATTGCCAATTTTAGAAAAAAATCCATCAACACCATGCGAAGTAGTTACATGGACAGACAACAGATAGTACTACTATATTTGTATAGATTTTACCCTAACATGAGACAACGACAGCGACTACAATAATTGGTGAGTGACGTAATATAAGCTATTTACCATTACGGCAGCTGGAATGTAAATTAGCCTAATCACAGTAATCATGTTAATATGTTCGTAATGACGTTTAAATACCTTACCAATATACTAAGGGTTTAAATTGCTGAACGTTTTTTAAATACTTTGAAAAAATCCGTATTTAATCGCACATCTTTTTTTTTCTATACCACCCCTCTTTACAAAAAATGCTACTTTAATTCTGTCTTTCAATCACGAGCAAAAATTCGTATACAGGTTTTCAAAATCCCTTTCAAATATGTTTATTAACAGGTACAGAAGGGGTGGGGTGTAATTTGTTTGGCGCTCCTTCGCGTCGAATTAATGAACTTAATTTTCTTCTAGAATAGATAAATATTGAGATTTAGTAATATCTGTAAATAGCCATTTTGTTCTTGTACTAATACGTTATGTTGCATTTTTTTATATACTTCTACGTTAGAAATCAGTTTTTTTTAAATAAACAGAAATAAATCACTGTAATTAATGGACTTTTTGTCTCAGCGCCATCTGGTAGTCCATAACGCAACTTTAATGCCACCTAAGCTTCCATCAGCGCCCTCTGATAATCAATAACGAAACTTTAATGACCCTATAAGCGTTCTCTCTTAGTGAATCCTAAGCTTCCAAATTTAAGTCCTTTTGAAATTTTATGTGTCTAATATGTTTGATAACGCCTTTCAGTGGCGAATTAGCGAACTAATTTCTTATGCTAGTTCGATTAACTACCTCGGTAAAATATGGAATGATTAATTTTGAAAAGCGGACAATAAAATTAATAACAAAAACTTAATTAAATAAAAAAGCTTGTACGATCGCTAGTAAAGGACGATCTCTTCTTCATAAGTGTTTTTTTTTAACCGTGTTAATTTTCATTGTTACTATTTTATTTTTGGAATTACTAAAACTAGTATTTCACAGCCTAAATAACTAAATTTGGCAATGAGTGTTTGTTAGGTTAAATAACAACATCTTAAAATGTTTACGTACAAATTTTGGTGAAATTAGTGTTAGTTTGAACCTAAGCAGGTCAAAGATCAAAAACAGTAAAATATATTTTCACTGATCTTGTATTATTCTTTATTGCCATGGTAACCGGAGAATCGAGATCTGTAGGACTAACGAAAGCTTGATGTAAGAAAAGTGTTGTTAAAAATCAACGTGCTTTTCTTTAGTCTGTGTAAACAAACTTATATGAAACGTACTATAGGTTCAAAAAGATAATAGCAATGGTTCTGGAGTAACAAATTGACAACGAACTATGATAACCCGGTTGTCTATGAAGGCAACCACGAAGATGATTGATTATGCAATCAGTAGCAATATTTTCCTGTTAACTAAGGCGAAAACGAATTCGAAGAAAAACCCCCAGTAATAAGATCACTGACCTATGTCATATGTCTCCATAGTGCCGACTGTCTTCAATCTTCTAAATCTCACGCTCTTTTCTGTAGAATTGGTGACATTTTATTTTATATTCATAAGATATTAACTAATTTTACCCTAATACGAGTCGACGACAGGGAATACACCCCCCCCCCACTGGCACAGCGGTATGTCTGCGGACTTACAACGCTAGAATCCGGGTTTCGATACCCGTGGTGGGCAGAGCACAGATAGACCATTGTGTAGCTTTGTGCTTAATTACAAACAAACAGACAGACAGGGAGTACAATTAGTGAGTTTCGTAATATAAGCTATTTACCATTACGGCAGCTGGAACGTAAATTTGCCCAATCACAATAACCATGTTAATATGTTCGTAAACACGTTTTATGGTGTTTTAACGAAGGCAGTGACGTTTCACAATCTTGATCGTGCAATCGATAATATCAGCATAAAAGAACTGAGTCAATTTGTTTAGAATTTTCGCGCAAAGCTACACAAGGGCTATCTGCGCATAACTGTCCATAGTTTTGAAATGAAAGACTAGGTGGAGGCTGCGAGCCAACAGCAACCGCCGCCAACTTTTAAGTTTGATCACATGGGTTTGACGGCCATCCTCATAGCACAGCCATGGCCCGAAAAAGCGGAACAAAGATTTGCAGCAACCGGACGCGAACCTTGAACCCACAAATTCACTGTGCGGGCATGCTTTTACCCCTAGGCCACGTCTGGACAGGTCCGTGTTAAATGTGTGTGTTTGCTTTGTTTGTTTGTTTGTAATTATGCACAAAGCTACACAATGGGCTATCTGTGCTCTGCCCACCACGGGTATCGAAACCCGGTTTCTAGCGTTGTAAGTCCGCAGACATACCGCTGTGCCACTGAGGGGTGTTTGTTTATAATTAAGCACAAAGCTACACAATGGGCTATCTGTGCTCTGCCCACCACGGGTATCGATACCCGGTTTCTAGCGTTGTAAGTCCGCAGACATTCCGCTGTGCCACTGGGGGGGGGGGGTCAAATGTGTGTGCAGAATAAGGTAAAATAAGCATTTTTTAGTAAGGGTTTTTGGTAAATTGTGGAAACACCTGTTATTTTGGGTAAGTTGTGGAAACACTTGTTATTTTTTGGTAAGTTGTGGAAACACCTGTTATTTTTTGGTAAGTTGTGGAAACACCTGTTATTTATGGTAAGTTGTGGAAACACCTGTTATTCTTGGTAAGTTGTGGAAACACCTGTTATTTTTGGTAAGTTGTGGAAACAACTGTTATTTGACAGAGACTGCTATAACTTGTTTTTTAAGCTACACACTATATTTTGTAATATCATTTAATACGTCATTTTTAAACGATTTTAAAAACAGTCGTATAGTTTTTCAAAAAAAAAAGAAGTTATCTAAAACGCAATTGAAGTTAGATCATCAGGAACTGTAATCGTAGATAGAAAAGTGTGTGCGTCATTCTTTCGAATTCTAAAGATTTCCAAATCATTTGAAATTTATAATCACGTGCGTGCACTTGCTTGCGTTACGCGCTGTTTCTCATCAGATTCTGGAAATCGCTTGTGTTACGCGCTTTATCTCATCAGATTCTGGAAATGTAACAACAACAACAACATTGTAAAGTCAAACAGGAGTTATTTTAATTAACGGCTACACTGCTAACTCTCTGAATACTAAAGAAAGAAACGATTCAAAAGTTGACATTGACAGAATACAGTTTATTTCCGAGGACTTCATGATAGTCAGGTGACGTCATCTGATCACCGAAAATGTGGGATCTGTATGATCAGTTATCGAGTTCTTTTCTTCAACATTATATTCAGAGCTACTTCACAATAAAAATAGCAACCGTCTTGAATACAGCGCCAAAACTCGTCAAAAATCTATATTACTTGCGTTTGCTTTTTTTTTTATTTGTACTTTAGGAGGTAACATATAATGTTGTAGAGCAAACAACAGATGGGTCCTTTTATAGTATGCCTTGAACAACGTTACATCAAGCATATTGTTTTCGTTTATTAAAAAAAAAGGGAGGCCTACTTATACACAAATAGTTTCTTTTTGCTCTTGAGTGAAGGCAACATTTCGAGTTACAGTTTTACAGTTATTCTCTGGACTGCTGTTTTTTTTGTCGATCGTCGGGAGGGTTGGGCGTAGATTAGTGGTTAGCGTACCGGGCTGTGGATCAAAAGGTCCAAGGTTCGAGCCGCAATATTCTGCTAAACATGTACCGTACTTCCAGCTGTGGAGGTTAATCCGGATTTTTGTTTAGTAACCGTGTAGGTGGAAGGTGCTTTTGAGTGGTTGCCCTTCTTCTGGTCAACAGTTTTAAATTAGATCTTTGATCTAGTTGATCTAAAAAAAAAATGTACCATAAGATGTCATTCACATTCAAAATACTAACTTCAAAACTATCTAGATCGTTAATTATTTCTTATCCTGCCCCCCAGTGGCACAGCAGTATGTCTGCGGACTTACAACGCTAGAATCCGGGTTTCGATACCCGTGGTGGGTAGAGCACAGATAGCCCATTGTGTAGCTTTGTGCTTAATTACAAACAATGTAATTTCGTATCCCAAGTTTCGGAGTCGCGAGTTAATTTACCGTGAACAATGTATTTCTTTCTTTTTTTTTATCTGTTGGTGGATTTCTTGAATCTCTTTTAGGGTAAACGAAATCAATATTTTGAACATTTAATTTGAGGAATTTTGGCGCAAAATATATCAATAACAAAATAATAAGATCGATGATAATTTCGATCGATTACATCATCTTAAGTGGACCAATTTGGTTCCAGCAATTGAAGACCCACTGGAACAATGAAGGACAATAAGGGACTTTTTGGTCCATCTAGGCCGTCCCATCCATTAAATTAAACTCAAACTAAAAAAAGCTCTTATCACTAAAATATTTGTCAAGCCTTAAATTATCTACATCAACCACATCTGAAGGGAACCCATTCCAAAAGTCAACCACACTCTTAGGAAAATAAAGCTGTCTTAGCTGAAGATGACTCCTACCCTTCCATAATTTATATTTGTGTCCCTTAGTCCCACTATTCTCACTGTTCACTATGAAAAAAGATTATGCATCAACACTATCAATTCCCTTTACAATCTTAAACACCTCAATCAGATCCCCCCCCCCCACTCTTCTTTTTCAAGATAAAACAATTTCAAAGATTTTAACTTGTCCTCATATGACAACCTTTACGCCCCAGGTATCATCCTAGTAACCCTTCTATAAACCCTTTCCAACAATTCAACGTCCTTTCTAAGGTAAGGAACCTAAGACTGAACACAGTACTCCTATGTCATGGATGTCAATCAAAAAGAGCAAAGATTTTAGCACTGAGACCTGAGGTATCTCATTCGTGACATTAATCCAGTTTGACTGAGCTCCATTTATAACAGCCCTCTTTTTTCCTCCATCCAGCCACTCTTCTATCCAATTAGCTAACTCATCCCCCATGTCTACAGAGATAATGTTTGGCAAACCTTTATGTGGTACCTTGTCAAATGCTTTTTGAAAATCCAGATACACCAAATCTACACCCTTACCCTCATCTACATAAGTAGTAACCATTTCAAAGAATGTCAAAAGATTTGTAAGGCAAGATTTTCCCTTAGTGAAATCATGTTGACTATCCAATAAAATTCTAAACTTTGTTAAATGACTTTGCAAAGTATCTTTTATCAGACTTTCCAAAACGTTTCCCACAACTGATGTAAGACTAATGTGTCTATAATTAGTGGGAAAATTTGTATTACCTTTGTTTTTTCCATTTAGTCGGTTTTGTACCCAGTTAGTCAACCTATCCCTCACACCTACAGAAATAACATTTTAAATTAACAAGCCTTTTATGTGGTTCCCGGTGAAATACTTTCTGAAAATCCAGATGCATCAAATCCACAGCACTGTATGGATTTTCGGAAATCGTGTTAATAGAGAGAGTTGTTTTTGTTTTTCCAATTTCGCACAAAGCTACACGAGAGCCATCTGCACTAGCCGTCCCTAATTTAGAAGTTAAAGACTAGAGGGAAGGCAGCTAGTCATCACCACTCACTGCCAACTCTTGGCCTACTCTTTTACCAACGAATAGTGGGATTGACCGTCACATTATAACGTCCCCACAGCTGAAAGGGCGAGCATGTTTGGTGATTCGAAACCACAACCCTCAGATTGAGAGTCAAGTGCCCTAACAACCTGGCCATGCCGAGCTAATAGGGAGAGAGAGAGAACAAAATAATGCAACAACATTTATGTCGCACGAAGATGTATTCTTTTCATTACGTGTTTTACACTTAATTCTACGTAAAGCGACAAAGATAATCTTTACAATTTCCTAGTTTTCTTGTTCCAAATGCCATTACATTATCAAATATTACACAGGTGATCCAAGATTGCTAAATTAACCCCTTTTTTTAAACAAGCTCATATACGATAATCACTAGATAAAGATCAAATATGCAATGACGTAGAAACGATAATCCAACAGGAAAATATTTGTCTGTTGTTATTTGTTCGATATAAGATGGTTCCTTCTTTTTTTCAGGTTCTATTTTTAAAGCATCTGTTTTGAAACATAAAGCTGAACAAGTAAAAGTTGACTTGAATGATTACTGAGAAATTTTTCAAGGTGAACTTACCTCGCAACAAAACCGGACCTTGGCTGAATCCACGAAAACAGACCACACACCGGTTGGCCTTTCTTCTACCACAGATAAGAACCATAAATGTGGAAGGTATTGGGCAAACAGTCTTTGGAACTCCACCTGCCACATCTGTTCCATCCCGCTGGAAATTCAACACAAGAAAAACCATAAAAATCTTTCGTCCATTACGTAGCAAATGTGCAGGAAGTTATACAAGTTCCAAGACTGGTTTCTATATTAAAATTTGGACTTCATATAGAAGATTTGTTTTGCCACGCTGACTAATAACTGTTGCCAGGGCAACGTCTTTATTACCTCCAGAGGGGGTATTGTTCTCACTCCGTTGTGTGTGTGTACAAGGTAACTTAAAAATTTCAACTGATATTGATCAAATTTTGTACAAAGGTTGAGTATCTCCGAAGGAACAACTGATTAATTTTTGATGAACGTACGTTAAAGTTCAAAGTTAGGGTTAAGGTCAACTACTCTCGTGTACGTTAAAGTTCAAAGTTAGGGTTAAGGTCAACTACTCTCGTTGTAATAAGGGTTTTGAAGAACGGTCAAAACTTGGAAAAAGAACATATTGAAATAGAACAATGATCTTGGTTTGTCCTACATTACTAAGGGCAAGGAATTGGTTGGTCAACATCTTAGAATGGTGACTACAAAATTCAAAAATATTGGGGGCGGGGGCTTGCATTTTTTATGTGCCTTTCTACTTTATCTTTTTAAAAGCCCTCAAATATTTACATACAGTTATAAAATATTCCAAGAAAGAAAATCAAAACGAAAAACTCTGGCTTATTGTATATTGTGTTCCTAATATTGGTGAGTCGTTGGTGCCTTATTCCTGGGTACGATAATTGGGTTGATTTAAGGCATATCCTGTGAGCGCAATAAAATGTAGTTTGAGATACTGAGGTAAGCTCACAACATGGGTGAAATAAATTTAGCAGAATACCCCCCCCCCCTACATACGTTGTTTTTAACCTCCATTGCATGTTTTCGGCCGCCATTTTGTCTTCAAGTACTTCGGCCTACGCCCTAAACAACACGAATGAAACAGAAGGATTGTTCTAACACTATAATAACTTTTACTGATGTCTGGCACGTGTAGGTGGCGCGCTAACAAAATGCAATTAATAAACAATGGACTTTTTTGGGAGGAGGGAGCTAAATGAAATTTGTAGGCTGCCTTAGATCCTCATTAATACCGTGTAGCCTCTTAACCTTTTATGCACCCCCCCCCCAGTACCACAGCGGTATGTTTGCGGACTTACAACGCTAGAAACCTGGTTTCGATACCCGTGGTGGGCAGAGCACAGATAGCCCATTGTGTAGCTTTGTGCTTAATTAGAAACAAACTTAGCCTCTACTGTAACCTGTTTTCATATTTATTTCTTAATTTATTATTATTTATTTATTTATCATGTAACGTAATACCCGCGACATTGACTTTTCTAAGCTAATTTACTGCCACGTTATTTCTCAGACACCAAGTTTGTGACTTTCTAAACACGTGTTCTGTAGTAATCGTGAAAAAAAAATTCTAAAAACAAACGCATTAACATTCGAGTGTGTAATTACTTTGATTTCACTGACAAACGTTCTTTAAACTTAGAATGTCTTGAAAGTGTGAAGTCGGGTATATAAGGAGAGACCTCTGGCGTGAAATATGATCTAATATAATCTATATATTAGACTTTTTTCGGGAATACTTTCAAATATACTGTAATAAAATCTATCGTTTCCCTCTTTAAAAAAAAAAAAGAGAGACCCACAGAATGTAATTTTAATTTTCTTTCTTATTTAATTCTTATATTATTATATATATATTGAATTATTTCATATGACCTATTGTCTGAATTTACTTGGAAGTATTAAGTCACAGTATAAGGACGGCATCCATTTTGTGTCTATTCCATATAAGATCACAGATGCTCAAAGAAGGATTTGTGATGAAGGGGAAAAAATCGTTGTTGGTGAGATGATAATTAAAGTTAATACTTCTAAACTGTCTGTTGTGGAGTGGCATAAGCTGGCCATTTTCAAGGATTACTCCTTCCCCCCCTTCCCCCACCCGTTTTTTAAAAGTTTTCTGTTCTCTATCCATTGTGTGTATTTGTTTGTCCGTCAGTGCATCATTCCATGTGATGATTGAGTTTTTTGGTTTTGTTTTTCTGGTATCTTTCCCCATTTTATCCTATATGTCTGTCTTTTTGTTTGTTCATTTAATACTTTAGGGACGGCCCCTTAGATTTTCCGGTAAACCCGTGCCTCCTCCAGCACGTGTTGATTGCCGCTAAATAGGAAAATCACAGTATTTGAACACTCGTGGTTTTGTGCTTCTATATATAAAAAAGGTATTGGATATTTTTAGATCTAATCACCTTTAAGCGGTCCTAAGTGAGCACCATTTAAAATAATTCAAGTCTCTACTAGGTCGTTATTTAACATATTCTCGGAACCCGAGCTCCTTCTCACGCGCCACGAACGTAATATTTCCATCTATCCAATCATATAAAATGCTTTATTTCAAGATTTATATGTCACCAGATTATATCAAAACCAATTTCGTGTTTTATGTTAAGAATTACATAATCTATATTGAAACAAGAAGGGTTATTTTTAATAACAATAATAAAAATATATAAGGGCTTGGTAGTGTTGAAATAGATCTTGGCGCCTATTTGCCAGGCAGATCACGTGACGTCTGGCTCAATTCCAGTGGTGACGTTATGTAAAAGTTAAAGATAAATATAGTTTATTTTTATTTTCTTATGTTAACTTTTCTTCCGTCCCTTGCCTTACTTTATTGAGAATTTCACTTTAAAAATTTAATACAAATAGATTAGTATTTTATGCGTGAAATTCCAACATTTTTATGATAAATATTTTTTTTTTACAATAGCTTGCTTTTTTTTAATACAAATAAAAGTGTCAATAAACAAGACATTTTCTGCGGTTAACTCAGTATTACTAGCCAAGATCAGCACGGTCACAAGCCGGTCTGTAGTAAAACAAATCGAGAAAGAGAAGTGGCTTAATGGTGATCAGTTAGCTTGTTGGGTCGTATATCGGAAGGGCTAAGGTTCAAGCCCGTGATCTACCGCAAAAACGCTCCGTACTTGAAGCTATATTTGAGCTTTGGTTTCTCTTACCTAACCATTTATCCCATGTATACCTACTTACTTTTCCTTACACGACTTACTTCGTCATTAACTGCTAAAAACTCATTTTCTTTGTGTGGGTTATCCGTATTTAATTAACTGTTACGCCTCCAGTTGTTAGTTAATTTTCCGTAAATTCGTTCCGACCAAACTTAAACGACACAAGTCCTTTCTTAAATAAAACTGGTTTATTCTTTCCGAATACAACTTTACGATACACCTAATTTCAACAGTCGCTCTATAACAACACTATAATTCACGTCTCACGTGGTCAACAATATTTTGTCCGCATACATTCAATTACTCATTAACTCCCCGTCGGTTCGTGGCCAGTCTTATATATACAAGACTACACTATATCTAGTAAATACTAGGGCATTCTTGAAGGAACAGGATATTTCTAGAAAACGAATGGCGTGATACTAGTCACGTGACCTCGCTGACGCAACATAACGTTTTCTATATGTTATATATTTTAAACCACGTATGTTAACAACTTCCTTAAAACTAGGATGTGTTGAATCACTTGGTAACTAATAAATTTAATCCAGTCATCCAAATATCTTAATTAATTTGAATGACTTAAACTATCCTAATACACTCTTCCATCGTTCTCAATCTGGTAATCCTAAGATAATACTGCCTCATCTCATCATAGAAGTATTCTGAGCTAATTCTTTTAATCCTAACAAAATTCTGAGCTACAACTTTTGACAGTATCAATAATTTATTATTCTAATCCTATTGGCATTCTGCGTTTTTTATTATTAAATTTCAACAATATCATAATTTCGTTTTACTAATCCCAACAATATCCCAAGTTTGTTCTTTTAATCCCAACAATATCCCAGTTTTGTTCTCTTAATCCCAACAATATCCTAAGTGTATTCTTTTAATTCAAGCAGTATCCTAAGCTAATATTTAAATAAATAATATCCCAAGTTTGTTCTCTTAAGTTTTTTTTTTTAATTTCAACAGTATCATAATTTCGTTTTACTAATCCCAACAATATCCCAAGTTTGTTCTTTTACTCTCAACTATATCCTAAGCTAATATTTATTTAAATAGTATCCTAAGTTTGTTCTTTTAATCCAAGAAGTATCCTTAGCTAGTTCTCACAACATCAGTTTAATCGTTCTCTATCAACCTGCTTTTTCTTCTGTTTTCAACAATATTCTGAGCTAATTGTTTTAATCCGAGCAGTATTGTAGGGTCTAGGTCTAGATTATTTCGGCTAAGCCTAACGATATTTCAAGCTTGTTCCTTTAATTACAACAGAATGAATTACATGTCCTATTCTAACGGCATAGATGGAATTACGTGGGGGGAGCAGTTGCCCCCCATTTTTACGGCAGATGGAATTACGTGGGGGGAGCAGTTGCCCCCCCCATATTTTTTTTCTTTTCGAATTGTCGATAACACGTAACCCTAGTTTTTGAAAGTATGTTTCGTGGTGTTTAACAGAGCTTGTGGTTAGATGGCTACACAAACGTAACACACAGTAACTTTACATCTCGAAATTATGTCTTCTCTGGTGTAAGCTAGTAAAAAGACGATGTAGTACTGTTTTACTGTACTTCCTTCGGATAGTAAAAATGAAATGTCAGTGAATCGTGACATTGTCTAAAACTGCTGGTCTATCTGTGAGATATAATACACGCACGACATTCACAATGATTCACTCTGTTTTGTGCCCCCCCCTCAAATATTGAGGTACAAGTTCTCGTTCATGCCTATCATTATTTTGAAATTCTCAACAGTGATTATTTCGAAGTTCAAAAGTACACTCTAATCTGATAAATAAATTTTGAAAAAACAGTAGTGACGTGGGATCAGCCCGAAGAGATCAGCCTATATTGTCAGCCAGTGGTGACGTGGGATCAGCAGGAAAAGATCAGCCTATATTGTTAGCCAGTAGTGACGTGGGATCAGCCCGAAAAGATCAATCTATATTGTCAACTAGTGGTGACGTGGGATAAGCAGGAAAAAATCAATCTATATTGTGAGCCAGTAGTGAC